TATTCGGGGATTATATCTATTGGACGGACAATAGAAACGATTCAATACTTCGCGTCAATATGAGAGACACGAGTGAAGCGCCGGCAGTCGAAGTGGTCGTCCAATCGGGGGTTGATATCAATGCGATGAAGATTTACCACAAGTCTGTCCAACCGTTGGGAACCAATAAATGTGTCCATCATTTATGTCCACAACTGTGTCTGCCCTCCAGTTATCACGAGAGGCAATACACGTGCGGTTGTCTACCGTTCCACACATGGGATGGGAATACCTGTGTGTTTACGGGTGTCGAGGAGACGGCTATTTCTAGGGCCTGCATTAATAAGGCTCCCAATTATGCATGGCTTGTATTGGCTGTCATTTCATTTACTATTAATGTAATACTAATCGCTTTAATCGTTTACTTCAAGAGAAAAGTGTGAGTATTGTGTCATTTATTATATTAAAATAAATTGATGAAATAATAACTAATAAAATGCTAATTTGTATTCATTTGCAGTCCATTGATGTCCAATGTTTTGGCAAAATTGAGAAGAGGTATACCTTCGAGAGACTCAAATGAATGGCGATTTATGAGTGGATTCTCACCATTTTATTCATAATTATATCTATATTTTTGCTACATTAAGCATATGATAATTCAAAATATATTGTATATTAAGGCACTAAATGACACTACTGTATCAAATTAATAATATACTAAATAACATTTAATTGGAGAATATTTTGATGTTTTATTTCCCAGTTTTGTTATTTTGTGACAACTTTTCAAACTTCTTGCGAATCCAACGAATACCTCCGATCTAGACATTGGGTTCATTATCACGTGATTCACTACTTTTAAGGATAACACCTATTCATAGAAATTAATATATTTATAATTATTAAATTAAATTATTATACTCTAAACTAGTTAAATATAATGGGATTACCTTTCACATGTTCAGGTCTAAAAGACTTATTTTGTAAATTAACTTTGCTAATTTCATGAATTTTTAATTTATATGAAATAAATTCATTAAATATAGAGTAATCATCAGACATGTGTTGATTTAAAAATTGATTAAATTCACTTATATTTCCTTCAATAATGCCCTTGCTAAGTGACCACTGATCACTTCTATGTAATATATCAAAACACCTTGGTCTAATACTTGGTCCAAATGATACCATCGATCCAAATATTTGTAATATATTTACTATGTTCTCGTAAAATACAGTTGAATTATATTTATCCAGTTCATTATCCCTTTAAAATATAAAATGAATAAAAATCTACAATAAATAAAATTAAACTTTAAAACATACTCTAATGATATGTCGAACATTTCCATAGAAATAATACCCAGGCTATATATGTCTACCTTTACTGTATACTTAGATTGATACAATTCTGGGGCCATATATTTAGGAGTTCCCGTGTGTTT